GACTTTTCATTTCGACTTTGACCTCCAAAGTCGAAACATTTCGACTTTTTGGGTTTTCATTTCGACTTCATGTATAGTAGCAACTAATTTGATTTGATTTTTGAAAGTAAAAGTATATTAACCGTTTGCCTTTCCACAAGCATCAGTTGTTTCATCTACAATAATACAAATTTTTTCATCTTTTAATATAAAATTTAATTTTCAATTTCTTGATCATATTCTTTTGATAAAAACTTTCACATAATTGATTAGCACCAACAATTGTTTCACCTAATAAATTTTAAATAAATAATTAATTAATTATGCTAAAAAAATTAAAAAAAATAAATATCAATATTGATATGCTAAAACATACTATTTTTACAAAATTTATGAAAAAAAACCTTAATTTATTAACCTTTTATAAAGGAATATCAGCTGCAGTAAATACTTTAACCAAATTAAGTTCATCTTTTTTGGCAATTGTATGTTTAAAGGTTTCAAGTGTAATTTGTTATCACAGTGTATTATTTAATTGATTTTTCATTCTATAGTAATTTTATTTTTTTTATGCTTATTTGTTTTTAAATGTTGATCAACTTTAGATTTGTTTTTATGATTAATACTAATGTTGCAAAATTTGCAAAACATAAGAGTGCTACTAGCATAGTAGCTGTCTTTATAAAGTTGTGCTAAATTTACTTTCTTCATTGCCATTATCATTACAGCAAGTACAGCAACAATAATTTTACTTGATGAGATTTAAGGTTATGATTAGCCAATCATATTAGTTGCAGAATATGTGTATGCATATTTTATGTGGTTTCCTATAAAATATGTGACACATAACATATGTGAAAAATCTCTAAAATATGCACATACATTTGCGCCACATATTTCTGGATACCCTATCTTAGATTTAAGGGTGACCTATCTAAATAGTATGTAGAATCTTGTCAATACATAATAAAAAACTTAGCTTATTTATAATAAAATTTTTATACTAAATTGCTTATTTTTTTATGTAATTCTGCTGTAATATTTTGAGTAATAATTATTTAATCATCTAATTACTATGTAATAGTTCTATAACTATAATAGATTGGTATTTAAAGAGATATAGAAAATATAATTATATTATTCTTTGATTATTATTATATATTAATACTTAGCTTTTGACTAGTTTTTTTTTCTTGAAGTTTTCTTTTAAAGTTTCTAGTTTAAAAGGTTACATGTGTCATTATGGACTAATAATTTATTTTTATTAATTGATTTGATTAATTTTATAGATCATCATTATATTATAGATTTTGCAGATCAATTTTTGTGATCTATATGTTAATCATATTATAAATTATTTACTAATCATTTGGGTCATATAAACTTATATATATCTAATAGGTATCATATATATTCAAATATAACATTAATTATAATAGTAATACTGAATTAAAACTGGAAAATCTTTACTAAATGTTCCTTTTATAATATAATTTAATTATTGTACTAATTTTGAAAAATGTGATTGGCTTAACAAAGATTCAAATTAATAATAAATTTATATAGTTTTCTGCTTTTACTAGATTCATAATAAATAGATTATAATTTAGGATTAGATTTATATTTATAGATTACAAAAAAAGTCATTACTTATAAATTGATACATTTATTATAAATTATAATTCAAATATTTTGATAATTTATTATTTGATTAAAATAACTATTCCTTCTAATTTATGTTAAAATGAATTTACTTTGTTTGTCAACTTTCAAAAATTTATTAGTACTAAAAAAGTTTTTTTGTAAATATAGTATAACTATTTCTCTTAATGACTATTATCAAATTTTCAATTTTAAAAGATATTCTTAAAATAAAAATTGCAATTATCATGTAAATAACCAATTAAGTTTAAATGTTTATTTTACAAACATATTAAAAAATAATAGATATCATGAAAAAAATAATATTGAAAAAAAAGAAAAAGAAATGCTATTTTATATATTAAATATCAGGGTCTCTGTGATATTGATTATATTATAAATAGTCTTGCTAGTTTTGGTAGTAATAAAAAACATGAATTTATAACAAATAAACTTTTTTCACAAAAATTTTTCAAAAATATCTCTTTTATTAGAAAAAAAAAAATAGAATTTAAGAGAGCATTAGAAGCCGAAGCAACTTGATATATAAATAAAAAAACTTTGGTAATATGAGGCTTTTGCAATAGAAAGGGGGGAAACTGCCAGAAAAATAAAAAATGAGTTAATGCAAAACTTGAACATATTTCAGCCTAGAAATCATATTTGGGCATATAAAAGTAAAATTAATTTTCCCGGCAGTTTTCCCCTTTCTATTGTAAAGGCCCCATATATTATATGCAATATGAGAAAAAATTAGCAATAAAGGTACTTTAATAAATACGAAAAATTAAAATATAATAACCATTTGAATGAAATATTCAAGACTATAAATTTATTTATATTATAGATTTTTTTGTTATATTTTGCAAATTATTTTTAAACTTTAAATATTAAATTTTTATTTTTCAAAAATCAGACAATATACAGTACAATAAAATTTATTTCTTATCATTATTATAAAACTTAATTAACTGAATTTCTCAAAAATCAAAATTTATGTCAAATTTGAACTGCTACAATTAGTGAAAAGAATAATTCAGTATTTTGAATCAAATAGTTTAATTTGACTTAAGTTGAATATTTAATAAAGATAATATCTTTATAGAATTTGTAGCTTTAATGATACATGTTAAAGAAAAAAAGCATAAAGTTAAACTTAAAAAGATTTTACTGTTTTAAATATTTAATCCATTTTTTAGTTTATTATTTGAAAGTAGTTATAAATATAAAATTTTCAAAAATGCTTTTGTTAGATTTTCAGTTCAAAAAATTCGGTAATTTTATTAGTTAGTTATTTAATAAATATTTATTTTATTTTTTTTTTTAATAATAGATGAATTTACAGGACAGATTTTATTGTAATTACTAATTTAGATTTAGTAATAAAAAACCTTATGAATTTATACAAATTGTATTAGATATTAATTGAAATAAATTAATTATAATTATGATAGACTATATAAATTATGAAAAAAACTTATATATGTTAAGGAATTTAATTATATTGTTAGATCAATCTTAACATATTTAGAAATAACTATTATGATATTTAATGGTATATATTTTAAGATAAATTATATTAAAGAAAGAAATGCAATTGCTATACAAATTTATGATATATTATTAATATTGTTAACGTGTGATTTTTACAAATCATAATGGTAGACGAGGCATTCAAGTGGTTACTTTTTATTGGTAGTTTACTGATCACGTGATTTAAATTACAGAATTGCGGATTACTATATGTAATTCAATTCAAAAATCTGCAATATTGCAGATTTGAAAAAATAATTATAGCATCATCCTTAGATCCATCAGATCTGAATCAGATTTAGATCGAATCAGATTTTTTGCAGAACACTAGCATAAGTTAAAAGTTTACAGAATTTTTAGATCATTATCATATATTTTGATTAAAATTTATTTGCAAATAACATATTGCTTTTTTTATGTGAAAATATAATAGGAGGGATTTTATAATTCATATTTTATCATATGAAGTAATTTATTTTTTAGGAATACATTTATATATAAATATGAACAGTAATTTGATTTCAATATGATAAAACTATTTTAATTTATGATTTTTTAATATACCATTTTCATGTAATTATCTTTTAAATATTTTTAATTAAATAAAATTAATTACAATTTGCTTACTATAAAATTTTAAAAAAAATGGTTACATGTTCTCAATTACATAATAATTCACATTATTATTAATTTTTTAAGGTGTTTATAAAATTAATTTGTATAATTATAAAAAACTTAATTCATAATAATAAAGTCAGCTGAATACTATGACAAGAACATGTAATAAAGATTTTCTGGTCTTGCTAAATTCATAAAATTCAAATGCAAGTCATAAAGTCATAATTCTGAATTAGTATGATAGAAATTCTTGCCTAGTAGATTTTAAAATGTATCATTATCATTGCTCATTTTTATTATGTGAACAAATAGAATACTACACAAACTTCTTTGTTTCATAAGACCAAAGATATATGTTATGACCATTTATTTGCCTAGTCTTTCTCAAGTATTAACATTACATTTTTTAGCATAAATATTTTTATTACGGTATATGAGAGGTTTGCTATGAAAATGAGATTCCGAGAATTTTTTAAAATGCAATAAGAATTAAATTTTAGTCAAAAAATTCTCAGAACCCCATTTTCCTAGCAAACCTTAATATAATTGAATTTCAAAATCCTATCAATGCTTTATTAGATGAATGAAGCATTTGCTATAGATTGTAAACAATGATAGAAGGAAGAGAATTGGATTTAGACAATTATTGAAAAGAAAAAAGTCTCACATTACCAAATTTATCAAAAATAGCATTGATTTATATTCGGATACCGGTAGCTGGAGTAGCAGTTTTTCTAATTACAATTTTATGACATTCAAAACCGATGTTGACTAACCGTTCGAGAAAGTACACCAAAAGAGCCCAATCCTAAAGAAGAATTGAATGCTTATCAAAATTAATTTTTTTGCGAATGATTTTTATATTATTTTATTATACACATATTTCATATTTAAAAGGTTCACCGCCACACACACACAAGTAACCTTAATATTTGTGAAACAAAAATAATTGATCGTCGCAATATCTATAAATAATATAAAATTCTCGAAAAAAAAAAAAAAAAAAATTTTTTTTCGATTCAATTTTTAAGGAAAAATTTCGTAAAAATGGCTCGTCGTAAGTCTGCTGCGAGACCTGCTTCCAGACCTGCCGCCAGACCTGCCGCCAGGTCCTCCTCTACTGATCAACGAAACAGCAGACCTGCTTCAACATTATCAGCACCAACAAAACAAACTAATAATGTTCCAGCTGTTCCACCTAAAAAACCAACTGGTTTAGCGGAACAAAGACCACCTGGTTTGTTGGGACAGGTAATTTCGATAGAAATAGTTATTATTACTTTTTTTTAATGACCATATACATAACCATACATACATACAATAACGATAATTAGATGGCTTCAACTGCTGCCGGTGTGGCTATTGGACACAGCATTGTAAGTAAAAATTTTCTGTTACCCCTTTTTTCATGATAATTAATAATAGTTTAACATAAAATAAAATATCAAAATAGGGTCATGGTATTACTGGCTTATTTTCAGGAAGTGGGTCAGCCGAAACACCAGAACCTCAACAACAATACACTCCTCAAACACAAAATGAGGTAAATAAATTATATAAAACTTCATTTGATTACTTTTGATTCATTAACTTAAAAAAATTTATGTTATAGCAACCTCAATATCAAGCGTTCCAAAATGATAATTATGGTGAAGCTTCGTGTGAAAATGATGCAAAGGCTTTAACAAAATGCTTGGAATTAAATAATCACAATATTGGTCTCTGTCAATACTATCTAGAGAATCTCAAAGCCTGTCAACAAATGGCATCTCAACTTTAGTTATTCAGATCAACTTCTTATTTAATCATGAAGCGTGAATTAATTCAAATAAAAATTGAACTCTGCTAATTTTCAACAATATACTTTTATTACAAAGCTATTATCATCTATGGATTTTTTAAAAAATATAATATTACGGTTTGTTACTCTAATACAATTATGTGTGAAATAGATATTAACTGTTGAGTTATTATTTAAATCTAGTTGAGTTTAATCAACGTGTAAAACGTTTGAAATATCTTTGGGGTTTTTCTTTAGTATTTCGAGATAAGAATCACGCAATGACATTATTAGCAATGGCAGTTTTTTCGAACGTCGAAAATGTATAGTGAGATCAGCATTTTCTTCAACGACCAAGTTGGCTAAATTAAAACTTTCTTCCAAATTTCTATTAGATAAATAATAACAACATTAAATTTTATATTTAATATGCAAAAAAAAAGTATATTTTATAAATACATACGCCTGAATGATGTCACGAGTTTCATACAACACTTTATGATGTCGGAGAACTGCATTTGGAATATAGATATCCATTACTCGTTCCAATTCACGTATCCGAATTTCATCTTATAAAAACGTTGCAAAACGTTAGTTAATTCATTAAATACCGTATCAACATTTAGGATTGGTAATATTAATTATCACCTTCTTCAGTCACCATGGCCCTTGTATCTCTTAAGAAATCAATAATATACGAATCTAAAAATTTATGAAAACGAGTATTCAAAGAATCCGTAATGTCCTAATAATGATCATCAATAAAAACGATTAATCCCTATAATGGTTAAAAGGCAGAAATGTTTTAATTCATACTTTAATATTTTTGGTCCATTCATTCATCTCTTTCGAACTATGTCTTTTGAAATTTGTTAGAATAAGAATTAACAAAAAAAAAATTAAATCAGTCAATAATGTAAATAAAAATTTAAAGTAGGAACATTAATTACTTTTCAGGTTTCGATTTCCATGTTTTCCACCAAGTCTCATATTTGTTATAATATTCGATCATGGTGCAATAATTCTGATGTTCGACGAATACGGTATCAATCTCCTCATCATCATCATCTTCAGGTTTAACATAGCGTATAGCTGATAAAGGCGATTTTGAATATTTCATTTCCATTATAATCTTACCCGCTACATTCATTCTTCCAGAAGCTAAATATATTATTAAGAAATCATTAAAGTTGATAAATATAATAATATTAAAGTAAGTAATCTTTTGAAAATATAATTACCTAGAAATATTCTGCATAAAGCATTCGCTGACTTTAGAGCTTCACGATGTTGTTCCTTGCTAAACGTTAACCATTCCAATGCACGAATTTGAATTTCCTCAACTGCGTTGACAGGTTCTTGCAAAGTTATTATCCTGATATCAGATACAGGACCATATCTATCCTGCAAAAGATTGATTCAATTATTTGATAAAATATGTCATTGCATTGGGAATAAATAGATAAATTAATTATTGTTGCATACTGGACTTTCGATCTCTTTAAATATTAATTCAAAAGTTTTTCGTGTAATGGCGACAACATTGAGACCATACTGTTCTGCCAAAGAGAAAAGTTTATGTCTCTCTGTACAACTTGACGTTACATCTAATATTACAAGTGCAGAACAACTTGTTAGATTGCACGAGAAGCATAATAAACAGATATATGGGTAATTTACCTTTTAAAAACGAGGAATAAAGTTCAATAGATATATCTCTCGGTAATTTTGATGCATACAACGCAATAAGTTTATTCTATGCATTTAATTTATGGTTAATTAGTTATATTATAATAATTTCAAATAGTAGATTATAAAATGTACCTGCTGACACTCTATCAACAATTCGGTATATAATTTGATAATATCATTCGATTCCTTGTCAGGGGTTGAAAGCATCAAATCCCGCAAATACAAAATTAGATGTGTCGCAAGGCGAAGGAAATGGACATATGCAATTTCACTAAAAATTACAGATGTAATTAATAAATATAATAAATTTATCAAAAAAATACAATTTCAAATATTATATACTCTTCACGTCTTAATCGTCTATCAATTATTTCCACTTTTAATTGTTTAACCATTTCTTTTGAATCGTTCAAAATAATTAGCTTTTGAATAATGTGGAACTTCTCAAGATCAAAGTCCCTACTAAAAGTCATTAAAAAAAATTTTTTTTATGAAAATTTTATCTATGGGTAATTAAATCAAGCACTATCCTTAAAAAGTTTAAACTTAAAATTGCTTGCCTATCAACTTTTTTTGATTCCACTAACTCAAATATTTCTTTTGGTGTTATAACCTTGATATTTATAGGTAAATCATCATCGTCATTAACTCCCATGTGTCGAGCATGTTTACTAAAATACTTTAAATAAATAAATAAGAAATACATATGCCATTTCCAATCAAAAAAAAAAATATTATATTAGAGATTTAATTCGGTGACACACCTCTTCTTGTTGAGACTCAATTAGGCTATTATAATAGGCCCAAATATAATCTTCCCAAGTTCGACAAATAGGTATAATCTAAAAGTATGAAAATTATTTCAATTATACAAATGTTGCATAATAATTACTGGTGCCATGAAATGTAACTATAATATATTTACACTTTCATAATTCCCACTAAGAACACCATATATTGCTCGATCATAAACATCAAGATTCTCCTACAAGTAAATAATTATAAACAGTTTAAAATAAAAATCTAACAAGATTCACATACATTATAAACATCTACCTGATTAGAGCAATAGTAACACGTCGCGCGCCATATTTGGCGATTAACGTTTCCAATTGTCGTCATATTTCCATTGTCTTTTAACGCAAATTATATAAGTTAGTTTTCAATATAAATATCAAATTATTTTAAGATTATCATAATTCTTTGAACAATTTGAGCTAACCCAATCCATAATACCAACTGGAAATTTTATGAAATTTACACCAATTTTACTAATATGTAAGCCTATTAAATGATTACTTCACTCAAACTTTAATATATTATTCCTACTAAAGGTCAAATTTTCATAAAAAATGATAATCAAACTCGAATAAAGGAATAAATGATTCGGATTTTTACATTACCGTCAACTTTTTCATCGTATAATATAATTCCGCTCAAAATAGCAGATCGCCAGTAATGACCGTTTTTGTCGCTAATATCAATTGCATCGTCAAATTGACCTCTACGTAAATATTCAAAAATCGATCTCACAAGCTCTTTTTCGTGTTCCTAAAGAATCATAATATGAATAAATCAATTCTTTTAAGATATTAAAATATTCATTTTGAACTTGATTTTACCTGATCGTAAGGATGTAAAGATTTTTGAGTTCTGTGAGGACCATCCGGATCAAGGTATTTATATTCTTCTGAATCACGTTTTTTTAGGTCCAATAGAATTGAATTTTTTGTGAAAGAACGATATTCAGGATTCGTTTCTACAGTAATAAACTCTGGCGCTATCTTCCATAACCATTTACGTACAATCTATAAAATGCGAACCATATTGTTTGATCGTCACGTCAAATTACGAAGCAAAAAATGCACGTGACGAGTATCTTACCCAAGCCTCGGCAAAATCTTTATTGATCGCGAGAAGCTCACATAAAAGCTGTCCGTCCGTTTGAAATGGATTCCTTGTTCCGTCAATACTTTTTATAGGCGTGAATCGATATCTATTGTGAAGAATAATACCATTTTTAAACATAAATGATATTTGTAAAAAATTACCCATAATTACTTACTGTGATAATAGCTTTAATAATTTCCATGTATTACGCTCAGCTTCCCAGAGTCGACGTTCTCGAGGTTTAAAGTTGAATATTCCACCGCTTTCCTCGCGGAATGTTTTAGAACTATGAAAAAATTAGACGCGTTTAATTATAATCTATCGGAGTAATGTAGTTTTATAAATGTAAAGGCAAAACTTACTATTCTTCGCACATTTGCTCGTATGTTTCAGGTGCATTGCCTATATCTTCCTGAGGTCGCGTATTTTCATACACTTCAGCATACCTTTGGATTACATCATTACCAAAGTACATTCCATCTGTAAAGTTGAATTACTGTCAACAAGTATTAAATAAGTCATAATCTATTGAGTAAACTTTCAAAAGAATACCAGTGGCCAGTAATCTTGTCCCAAAATTGGTAATGGATGAATTCATCTAAAAAATAAAGTTATAAATATAAATGCGAGAGTTACACGCTTCTATATTGATAAAAGGAATAGAAACTAACAATACTGGGAAAGCCATTAATAAGCATATCCGAAGAATAAACTTGCGGGGTAGCATAAATTGAAGGTGTAAATCCTGGCGCTCCCTGGAATCTTGATGCGTTACTATAAACACGCGGCGTGTTCATGGAATCAACTATCATAGGCGTACTTTGATCCATTTTATTAATTAATATGAGGAGTAAAAAATCGCGGACAATTTTTTAAAATTTTCACGTGTTACAAAGCATTAATATGTATTTGTTATCCAATAATCCAATAACTTGGTATTTGGGTTTAATATTCCAAATTGGGAAATTTAGCAGATTATCAATTAACGATAAAGAAAATAAAGAAGTAAAAATGTAATATGGATTCTCAATACAACAATGATATTTTTGTCAAATTCAAACTTTCTAGTTTTTAAATCCAATTTTCGATCTTAAAATAAAATTTTTTGTTGATTTATCTTTTGATTCAAAGTATTTTTCCGCTCGATCTCTATCCTAACTATCTATTCCTAACTATCTATTCCTAACGTGACTTTATTTAAAAAAATAAAAAATCATAAATTGGCATGAAGTACGAAATCTGTTTCACCACTTTAAAGGGCTGATTTAATTTGATTGTCGTGACGCCAAGCTCACGTTAAAGATTTTAAGATCCAATGAGAAATATATTGATCAATGATCAGATTTACTAAATCTAGTACTCAGTTTTAATATCTGATTTATATATAAAAATCAGATCTAGATTCTAATCGTTTCTAGATATTTGATTTATATATTAACACTGAACGGAACGACAAAAGTTCTCAAAAAAAAAAAAAGAAAATTATTGTTAGAATCCAAAAACATTAAATTTATTGAATTTTTTTTTACAATGTCTACTAAGCACAGGCACAATACTTACTGGTTTATCTCTGGTATTTTTTAGAAAAAATTACCGATAGATTTTTTTCTTTTTTTATCGGAAAATAATATCAACTTTTGTTTGCATCTCAAATAGTTCCTGCCGAAGGAAATAAATCTGCCGTTTACGAAAATTTAAAGTCAAAGTTAACCGGCTCAGGATCCGATTATGCCGAAGTATACCAATTCATAATCCCAGAATTTAGGGTAGGTACAAGTTTTACTAAAAAAAAATAAGAGCTTTATTTAAATTCAAATATCTGAATTTTTATTTAATTGATTCAATAAATTTTATCTCCGATTCGATAGATTGGAACACTTGACGCACTCGTTGTTATTTCAGACGAACTCATAAAATATGATCAATCTTTTGAATCGACAACATTCAAAATTGTCGATATTCTTCGCAACCTTTTAAAAGGTGATTTGAGCCAGGTTGCCGAAAATTTGGTCGTGAATGATAGTAAGTTACTTTTTATATTTATTAGAAACATTTGTTTGAAGCAATGAATTCTTAAAGAAACGCTTATTTGTAGGTATTTATCATTTATGAAATAATCACTTATTTTTATTAACAGAAACTGTCGAACAATATTTGAAGACTTTTCAGTGGGACACATTGAAATTTCGAGCCGAAAAATCTCTTCAGGAAATAGCTCAAATCATCAACAAGGTTTGAACATTATCTTTATTTGGAAATATTTAGAACATATACACATATTTTTAAATTATGATATCCTAAGTGTCTTTATTATATATCAGGAAGTGACAAGAATTGACACCATGATGAAGGCCAAATCTACTCATTATAGTCAGGTTAGAAGCAATCTTCAGGCTTTGGAACGAAAGCAAACGTAATATGGTGTTTTCTTCTTAAATTTTTACTTTCCTTGTATTACCAATCCATTAAATTTAGTCTTAATTAAATAACAGTGGAAATTTAGCGGTACGCAATGTAGCAGATGTTGTTAAAAAGGAACATTTCGTTTTGGATTCGGAATATTTGGAAACTTTGGTTGTAGCAGTTCCCAAGTAAGACAACATTTGACCTTAACTAGTCTTACCTTTATTCTTCTTTAAATCTTGCTAATTGTAACTTACCGAATCTAAGGAACCTTTACAAAGAATGGTTGGCCAAATATGAGCGTATTACGGAGAAAATTGTACCACGTTCTTCTCAGTAAGCGAAAGCATTTGGTTACGTTTTTTCTAATTTGTGAAAAACTCTAATATAGATTTTTGAAACAACAGGAAAATCGCAGAGGATGATGACTTTGGATTGTTTACCGTAACTCTCTTTAAGAAAATTAGTAACGACTTTGCGAACAAATGTCGAGAAGAAAAGTAATTATATTTAAAGCTTGTGTATCATAGAATCTTATCACTATATGTATTAAATTATTCTATTAATGACTTAAAAGGTTCGTTGTAAGAGATTTCAAATACGATGAAAATGATATGGAAAATCAGCGCAAAGAATATGAGGAGGTTGGAGCCGTAGAAAAAGAGTTATCGGTAAATTCATTTCTAAAATTCTACGATAATGGTCATGGGATCCATACTATTATATTAATACATAATCATGTGTAATTAGGCTAATTTATTAAGATTGGCCACTGCAAATTTCGGAGAAGTATTCTCATCATGGATTCATCTCAAAGCATTGAGAGTTTATGTTGAGTCTGTTTTACGTTATGGTTTACCACCGGATTTTATGTCAGCTATTATTAGGGTAAGTCATTCTATTCTCTCCCAATTACATAAGTTTGCATAAGCTAATCATGAAAATTTGCAATGACTGTAACTCTTTTTGATATTAGCCAAAATATAAGATGGATAAAAAAATAAGGGAGATACTAAATAATCAATACGGAAAGCTTGGTGGTACACTTAGCCGTGATGAAAATAATGATATTGAGGAATATCAAAATTTGATTGATAAAGATTATTACCCTTATGTATATTTCTATCTCGAATTTGACATTTATAAACGATAGATGACGTTAGGCATTTAAAAAGATCATTGTAATAATACAGGGATGTGTTCTTCTCTAGATTTATTTTCGTTAATGTGCGAGTTGAACGCGTCTTCTTTCTTTCTTCCTTATATACTTATTTATTATTATTATTATTATTATTATTATTAGTATTAGTATTAGTATTAGTATTATTTACTCGCATTATCAATTTTGAACTTAATAGATATTCATCCGTTTTATTTATATACAACCTGAATAAATTAAAGTCAGTTGTCAGGAAAAAAAAAAAAAAAATCTAAATGGATTGAAATATGTGATGCTTTTGATGCTTTTGTTGATTTCTTAATATCAATTTCTAAAATGTATTAATTTACACCCTTATTGATAAAATATTATTATATTATGATGCTACTTTTTACTCGCTAACTTTTTCTGCATTTGTAATAATAATTTAGAATTATCTTTTGTTAATTTTCCTAGTCCCATCCAAAGTGTCTGTGATAATAATAAATGTTCATTTTTTCTCAATATTTCTCATTATTTTTCTGATTATTCTCTCCTCATATAAAATTCGATGGCTGTTGAAAAGGCTGCAAATCCTGCACATCCAATTAAAGCAGCTTGTGGACCAGATTTAGCAGCCAATACGGCGCCAGTTATACAGCCAGATGCAGTACCATTATATATATCATTCTTTGCTCGGTACTGTCAATAATAAAAAGGGGTTAAAAAATGTCAAGTAATATTATGATAAAAGATCGACTGGGTACTCACAGTTTCGATCACACATTCGGTACCAGAAAAAATTGATCCAACTAAAGCAAAATTTTTCGCCATGGAAAAAGATCGTTGTGCCATATCCTTTGCAGTCGCTTTTAATTGCTGTTTCATTGGTTGTTCATAAATTGCTGGATCTACCGAAGCCATTTCAAATGATGACATAAACATCCCAACTACTCCACCCAATACAAACCCTATTCATATCCAATAGGAGGCAAAATTGTATAAATGAAACGTTAAAATTTACGGACGAAGAATTTTCTTTTAAAATATTATATATATATCTTAATTAATTTATTTATTTACCTCCTACACCAGCGAAACCGACTTTAAGTAAACATGATTCTTGTATCATTTGCATGTATCTTAACTCTTTCGGTATAGCTTCCTTGTTATTAGGAAATCCTGCCATTTTTGATTTTTTCTTTTGATGGTTATTATTTTAACGATCAATCGATCGTATTTATTTTAAAGGATGAACAACCACGACCCACAACTACTACGATAATAGAAAAAAAATGAAGAAGAAAAAAAAAATTTTTTAAATTACATGCAATCTAATTTTTCGGAAACAATTTATATTCGATGATGGTGTAACGCGAGATAATGTGAATAATCTACATGTGATTATGTTACACGTTTACAATTAAACAATTATGATTACAATTACAAAAAAAAAAAAATTCAATTTTAAAGGAGGATTATCAAAAATAATTTGTAAAATATTATGTCAGCAAATTAATAATGAAGGGTCAATCATATCTATAATAATTATTCCGACAAAAAACATTTTGAATTTCTCTTCAAATTGACAGGAACAATCACAGCAGGTTGCAGCCCAAACAATCAGCAAAAAAAAAAAAAAAAAAAATTTGGTATTTAACTACTCGTATGACCGCAATCAATTTCAAAAAAAAAAGTTGTAAATTTTTATTTTGCGTATCGTCTTTTTTTTTTTTTCCTCGTTCCTTTTTACTTTATTTTATTTCATTTTTTTTTTTTCCTTCTCACCTCTAATAAAAAAAAAAAAAAAAAAACAAAAACGATGGCAGCAAATTTACCAAACGAGTGTCTTCTAAAGATATTTAAATCCATCGAGACAGATAGAAAATCATTATGCTCACTAATATTGGTTAATAAAACGTGGTGTCAAATAAGTATGCCAATATTATGGAGTAACCCGTTCAAAGATTATCGAACAATTAATAGTTCATTCAAAGTAATATTACCCTTAATATCCTACCTTGATAAAGAAACCAAGGAAATGATCAAAATCAATGATTCAATCACAAACTATTACATCCCAACGAAGGCAACGTTTAATTACGCATCTTTCATCAAAGAATTAGATTATATGGATATGTATCATCAAGTGATATTATGCTTAAAAAAGATACGAGAAGATCAAAAGCAATCCAACTTATACTACGAGATGGTACAAAAAATCGATAAAAGTTATTATGATATTTTTGTTGAATTGATTTATAAAATTGTTATAAATAATTCGAGAATCAAGACGTTGGTTATAGATATGTTTTTTTGGCGGTCAAATGATATCTTTGACGTCCTTTTGAAGACACCCGGGCAAGAAAAAGCCTTCTCACTCTCTTTAAGAAAATTTCATTGTAAATTATTGGCTAAGGACGTTAATATTTTATTTAGTTTTTTGAAATTGGCCAACAACCAAATTAGAGATTTATCATTAAGTTTGTATGGTGATGAACAGGATAATATCTCTTATTCGTTACTAATTGAAACCATCAAATCTCAACCCAATCTTGAAACATTACATATTAGTGAAAGCACTCATTTCGTTAAATTAATCCTTTCGGAATTACGTAATAACGCTCATTCCATATTAAAATTAAGCTTAGAATCTCATAATAATATTGAAAAATCCGGATTTTATTACTTGAGTGATGAATGGGGAAATTCATTGGAATTAACTTTCGGTGAATTAAAGAAAGTTGAAAATTATTATAACGATGAGAGGGTACCATTCTCTAATTTAAAACGGTTAAAATTGGATTGGAACACTTGTAGTACAGATCAATTAAAATTTCAAGAGAATGAAGTTCATCAATCAATAATCACCTTAATACGAAATCATCATAAGGATATAATTCAATTCGATTTAAATACCTTGACTGAATTTCATTTTAATAATATCTTTGAGACAATTCCGAAACATTGTTCAAACTTAAAAACCATTTCTTATAATATTCACAATTTAAAAGATTGAGCATTATTTATTCCTTCCTTTTTGTTGAAAATGTTCCGGAATCTATTCAAAACATTATATTAAGAAATTGTTCATTTAATCATGATACTTGTCTCTCTTTTTAAGTAACATTAAATCAAAGAAATTGAAATCGTTTAAATTATTTGGAAAAGTGGAGGGATGGAAGTTTATGATATCTTAAAGAATCTTTATGTCCTTTTAAAAAAGTTTTCTGATGAAAGAACTTGGACTATTAAAGATTATACATTTGAGTTATCCGGTTATCGAGATCGAGATATTGTTAGTTTTGAATGGGAGGAATAGAAAATACTTGTTTTTTTTTCTTTAATTAAATTCGAAAGAACTTGTAAAAATTATATATAATAAATCTTATAAACAAATTTACTTTAATTCTTTATTTACTAAAAACAAACTACTGATTTTTGTTAACTAAACGGCTGGAAAATTTTAATGTAAACAATATAAATAACAACGCGACCAATCACGTAACGTGAAAATTTTCCCATCAAAAAAAAAAAAAATTGATATGCTTGCATCACTTCAGTAATTATATTCGGTCTTCGACTGATATAGTTACTTTATCAAAGTCAAGCCAAAGACTTGGAAGGGCCCTTTGTACGAAATGATTAATGCACATCATTAATAGGGTTAATGACTCGCATGCTTACGTAATCCCTTATGAAGAAAATTTTACACCTTTAGTATGGAAAGCATGCATTTGTTCCGTACAAAAACCCTTTTTCGTATGAAAGATGTTTTCCGGAAATGATTATCGGATGACAATTTTCAGGCTAGCTTTTCTCTTTCTGTTTGATTTTAAAGTTTTTCTTTTTTTCAAAACCTTTTAGTAATATCAATAATCAAATTACGTTATATTACATTAAAATAAATTATTGATTTGAATCATTATATATATATAAATAATAACAATAATAATAGTAATAATTAGAATGAAAGTAAATTAAGTTTATCGCATTTACTTTTATAACGCGCCTTTATGATAATTGTAGAAATCATGTGACCAGCCATGTTACGCGAATGTCTTTCAATGTTGCAATTTCGATTACAAACGAATTACATTGTTATTACGTAAGTGTTATTTTGAAAATTTTTAATCGCCTGTTCAATACACTTTTAAATTTTAAATTTAATTATTGATAAGGTATTGTTATATGAATATCTCGGATTAGAAAATACTTAATAATCAAATCTCATAATGTAATAATGAAAGGAATTTTCAATTTTATTTTGATTATCATAATAATATCAGTGTACTAATTAATATATATATATTATTTTTTACCAGGAGCAAAACAAGACCGCGTTCTTTTATATATTTGTACAAGTTCGTAAAATCAAATATTTATAAAACAATGGATTTTTAATAACGCACACGGGATTTGCTTTCCAATTTCTCATCTAATGTCATTTTGCGAAAAAAGAAAAATAATCAATGAGCATCTTGTAATCAACTAGATGTGCAATATTCTCCCTGACTATAAAGTATTAAAAGCTTTATATTGAAATAAGGAGGTTAAAAGTTCATTAAGGGGTAATAATAATTGGTTGGATTGGTAAAAAATTGCTTCGCTATGTGGTGAAACTTGCAAGTTCCCAAGACACAATGATTGGCCTGTGAATTATGTATAATAGACAATATTGACACTAGTAAAAAGGACTAAACTAGAATGATATTCTTTGATTCAATGAGCCAATGAAAAAAATTTTCAAGTATGAAGTACCTTCTTGAGCGTATGTGATTGTAAATTATCATCAAAGAATTCATGTACCGACTATGATCTTTTCGGCCGAGATTATTATATTCTATTTGATCGACGTAGTCAAAAATAATCCCGCATATAAATCCTGCATCTCATCTCATACATCATACATGATGAATTAAGGGTACTGTATTAACATACATTGGTTAAACAAACATAAAAAAAAGCTGTTTCAAAAAGGACGAATGGTATTTTGCATTTTCTTAAATTGATCGCATTTACTAAGAGAGATAAACATGTTGATCATAATATCCACTTCCTTTATATTTTTGCAAATATTTTATTTGTCCGTCGGACAAACTTCTCACATAATTATGTGATGTTCTTACAAGTTGTTATGAGAGTATATTATTCCTTTAAAAGAATGCCGAAAATGATTACCATTCATATAAAATTAAATTCGAATCGGAAAATAAATCCACATTAATAAAGTCGGTAAAGTAAAAAGATCAACAACATACTTTCAAGCATCTGAATCATTAGTAATCAAACCCATTAAATGCCCATCAAAAACGGAGAATTTCATTTACTTTTTTTTCTCTCATCCATTAAGTTACTCTTACCACATATTTTAGAATGATTTTCTTCGTTTTTTTATGTATTTGATTATTCTTTCATTATGAAAATAAATTGTGATCAGTAGTATAGCTTAAAAATCGTTCGCGTAACAAGCATTTTGAAAATATAGTTAGTTAAATTTCTTAGAATTACATTAATTCCTAAAGTATTTATAAGATAATCTCTTTTTTTTGATTAGCTTATTACAATTACGTTTTTAAAAATCTGCAATATCATAGCATTTTAAGATTGTAGTTTTAATATAAATTAGTAAATCTGTTAATTGGTATATTTACTTTATAAAAAAACTTTATACAGTCAGACCTGTCTATAATCACCCTGTCTATAATCACATCATATAAAACCTTTTTATAATCACGCCTATATTAAACCAGTTATGATTAAATTAATAAAAATACCTCTATATTATTACAATATCTTTTTATAAGCATATATTTTAAAAAATTATTATGTGACCAACTGACTGTATTAGTAAGTAATTAAATTATACAGTCAGACCTGTCTATAGTCACACTGTCTATAATCACATCATATAAAAACCTTTTTATAATTATGCTTATATTAAACCAGTTATTATTAAATTAATAAATAATACCTCTATTATCATAATAACTTTTTATAAGCATATATTTTAAAAAAAATTACATTCAGACCTCTTTAAATGCATCCCCTGGAACTAAACATAAGAGAGGGTATGAAAACATATATTTTATCAGATTTTTGTAATTTGATAATTATGATTTTATTTATTTTTAAAATATTTGACATCAGATTACAAATAAAATTGATATAAAAAAAGAAAAAATATTTTATGTAACTTCACTGGTATTAAAAAAAATTCTTAAAGTAATTTGTTTTATAAATTGCTTTTATTCTCTAATAAATCTTTCAAGAGTACTTATTAACTTAAAATATTCAATCACCTTTTCTAAAGTAAAAAATGCCTGAATATTTTCCAAACTTTTTGATTCTATACTTTTACTAATGAGTTCTATTTCAACACTATTATTATTTAAATTTTCATTTGAATTTTTTTTGTAAATATCTACAAGTTCAATAATAATATTATTTTCTTCTAGAACTTCATAGATAATATTCTTGTCAAAAATGGTTAGAAATTCTTCTGCTTGCATACTATCAGAAAAATTAAGATCTTTAAGTAATTCAAATGGTTTATCAATTTCTTGAATATTTTCATTTTTTTAATATTTCACTTATAGAAAGAATTTTGGTATGATGTTAGCAATTACAAATTATTTTAGTTTTAACTTCATTCTAGATTTTAATAAAATATCAAATCCCTTATAAAACATTTATTTTTAAATTTTGTACAAATTCACTAGCTTCAATCTGTTCTAATATCTATTGGATTTGATGATGATGATAATTATTTTGAATGACACAATGATTTCAATATCTATTGGTTAAAGTTTAAATATTGTATTTAAAGTAAAAAAATAATATCAACATTTGAAAAAACTAGTCCCTTTATTTTGTAATATAAATAATTGTTAAGAAGTAGTAAAACATACTGACTAAAAATGGGAACTGTAATTAATATGTTGCAACTTTTAATGTTGCAACTTACATTGCAATTAATTTTAACCTATATATGTTGCAACTAATTTTAGCTTATATTGCAACATTTTGTAAATTTGAAATCAATTGCTGTATCATTTTTAATACTGACTGTTATGTTTTCTAAACATATATGAAGCGAATTTATAGAGACACTCTTGAAAATTAATCAGTAACATCTGATAAATTATTGGCAGATTTGAAATATTAATATTCTTAAAATATCAGAGGTTTGTATATTTTCCAATAATCTAAGATTTCAATTTATGTGATCCATTAGCATTTGCACATAATGCAATAGTAATACACTCTTTATTTTTTTATACTTAGAAAGACATTTTGTAGCTAATGTTTGATCAGGTTCTAATCAATAAAAAAGTCCAGTTTTATTTATATTATATATTCTTTTAAGAGATAATTTGCATATTTTTTATGTAATAATAGTAGGGTTTTGAAAATAATAGAATTATCAGCAAAACAGTTTCACTATAAAGTTTTTCATAATAAATTCTATTATGATCTTTAAATTTTTAAAGCTGGCTAGAGGAAATTGTAATATACCTTCTGAAATCTATAATTCACTATTAGCCTTCAATTAGCATTACGTTACTTAATATAGTTTGATATTAATAAATGTACAAATGTTTTAAGTGCTAGTTTAAATTCTAAAACAGTAATAGATCCATGTTATTTTGCTTCTAGATTAGTAATTTCAGAGATAAGTTATTTGTTTTTATTTTGCAAAATTCTTGTAATAGTAGATTCGTTAACCCTAATTTCTTATTTTCTTTGATCCAATTTATATATTGAGTTTGTGTTCTTTTATTATCATGAGCATATTGACAAAATTTATGTTTTTGAATATCAGTTAATGTGTTTTTTTAGGAGGCAGATTATATGAGAATATAAAAAGCAATTGTATATATATATTTATATCCACAAATTTATAAACTTATTTTATATTATCCAAATATACAAAATATAATTGTTTAATATTCAAGACTTCTAATATTCACAAATAACGTTTAATACTTGTAAGCAGTGTTTAATATTCGCAAGTGG